TGCTGCTGCTGCTACTGCTGCTGCTGCTGCTGCTGCTGCTGCTGCTGCTGCTGCTGCTGCTACTACTACTACTGCTGCTGCTGCTGCTGCTGCTGCTGCTACTACTGCTGCTGCTACTGCTACTGCTGCTTCTGCTGCTGCTACTGCTGCTGCTGCTGCTGCTGCTGCTGCTGCTGCTACTACTACTACTGCTGCTGCTGCTGCTGCTGCTACTACTGCTGCTGCTACTGCTGCTGTTACGGCTGCTGCTGCTACTGCTGCTGCTGCTGCTGCTGCTGCTGCTGCTGCTACTACTACTGCTGCTGCTGCTGCTACTGCTGCTGCTACTACTGCTGTTACGGCTGCTGTTACGGCTGCTGCTGCTACTGCTGCTGCTGCTGCTGCTGCTGCTGCTGCTGCTGCTACTACTACTACTGCTGCTGCTGCTGCTGCTGCTGCTACTGCTGCTGCTACTACTGCTGCTACTGCTACTGCTACTGCTGTTACTGCTACTGCTACTACTACTACTGCTGCTGCTGCTGCTGCTACTGCTACTGCTACTGCTACTGCTGTTACTATACGTTTGTAAAGTGCAACTCCAAGGATTGCCGCAAGAATGCAATCAACCCTGCCGTGCGTGGGATGGGCGTTTGCGTGGGTGCATGCCTACGTGCGTACGTGAGTGTGCTCGCATCTGCACGAGCGTGCGTGCATACGTGAAATACGCAAATACGTGTAAACGCAAGTCTGAGCTCGCTTATCGTCTGTCACTCTGTCTATACAGCTGCTGTAGGAGCGTAATATCAAGTAATATGCACATTTGAGCTACAAATCTCATTGGCTGGCTGCTAACTATGTTAGGCGCGTGTCTGGGCGTGAACACTAACTATGTTCAAGAGCTAATAATAATGTATAGCGTCAAGAGCTAATAATACCTAGGTATTAGCCTAATAATACCCTATTAGCCTTTTACCTATTTACCTATTAGCCTTAATAATACCTAGGTATTATTAGCTCTTGATAGCGTGCACATTTCCAAACAGTGTTAGCGAAGCGTTTCATGAATGCAAATCACACCCGCGTGGGTTCGTGCGCGCAGGTATGATATCGTAATAACAGGTGTTTCGTGAGAACGAATGCGTGCGTGCGTGCGTGCGTGCGTGCGTGGCGCGCGTGTGAGCATTTATGCGTGCGAGCGTGTGTAAATAGCTGCGCACTGTTAGGGATGAGAACCCGTGTTGTTAGACAAACGAGCTCTCATGATTCTCCTCCCGCTAAATTACCCCCCCCCACCCTACCCGCTATTGTTAATGAAACTGTTTCCCCCGGTTGTTAGATATTTGAACCCTGATCCCTGTTTTGAAACGCATCAACTACTCCTTGTGTTGTTAGCAACACGAGCAACAGCTCACATTGTTAATCAGTGGTAATAAGTGTGTGTAGCACCAGTGTGTTAGTGTGGAAGTGAAACCTAAGTGGCACGTACGTGGCACTGGGCGAAACAACTAAATGTTAAATGACAATTTCGAGCATGACTCTTCATGCAGCATACTCACGCATGAGCGGAAACGCAGCTTCACATACACCGAACAGATTGCCTCCTCCGCGTCTTTACGTCACTGTGCGGGGGCTGAAATTCCTGCCTGTGACGCGATCACTGTCTACTTAACGCGCATGACGTTGTGTGTACGCTCGTACGCACTCTGTACAGTGTCTGTTTATCCGGTATGAAGGGACGCGGTCGATCCATCCTGCTTCGACGCACGTGTAATTGGATGGAAATGTTCGCTCGCGTATTCCATCCAAGTTTGCTGGTACTAGCTTATATTATACGTCCGGTTTTCATAAGCAGTATGTGCTTTTACCCTATTTTAGGACCCCGTTCATACATTGTGGAGTTAGGATTAAGTTAGGGTTGGGGTTGAACTTAAGTTAGGATAGGGGTTAGGACCGTTAGGTTGGTGTTAAGGTTAGAGTTAGATTTAAGTATAAGGATTGGTTTAAGGATTAGAGTTGGATTTAATTTGGGTAGGGGGTAGGGTTAGGAGGGTAGGGTTAGTGTTAATGTTAAGGTTAGGGTTGAGAGTCGAGTTAGGGTCAGTGTTAGAGTTACAACCCAAGAACTAATCTTAATCCTAACATTAATCCTATAAGATTAATTATAGGGTTAATCTTAGGGTTAAAATTAGAGTTACGCTGTTAGGGCTAAGGTTAGACTATAGGATGTGTTTATATGATGTGTGATGATGTATATGGGCTGAGGGCCACAGTGCGTTTCAGTTTTGGGTCTGTCGATTGTTGACAGTTGAGACTATTCATTGAGGAGGTGTCTCATCGCATGATTCGTTGGCAGGTCGCAGAGACGCCTGATATCCACAGGAACCAGCCGGGAGTGAGACACAGACCCAAACATCTGCATATCGGCACGACCACGCCTGTACACTGTGCCCCGCGCGACCCTGCCACCGAGCCAGCGAGCGACCCACGTTCGCCTACCAAGACAATAGCAAGGACGCCGATACAGGAGGTGAGGGCTGCGCCAGTCACCAGTTTTAGTGTCGGAGGTTTGGTTCTCCAAATTTTCCTACATATGCTATCCCCCAGACATTTTCAAATAAAATTAATGGTTTGTCACTCGGGAAATTTAATTAATTTTTTACGTCAACTTTCAGTGACAGCTGCAGACATTGTTGAGAACATTTGTTTTAAATGAATGAGATGTCATGGGAGTTTGACATTTTTCTTGATGTTATCGAAGTATATAAATTATAAAGTATAGCTTAGTTTGTCAGTGAACAAAGATTTTTAGCATGTTTTTCCTGTGAGAAAACTTAATAGCCATTTTTGGATTTTAGTGCTATGGAGTCACGTATTGATTAATATTGTTCTCCTCCAATAATTCCCAGTAATGTGAAAATAAACCGGATATTGAAATTAGTTCAATTGTTGTGAATTGTCATAGCCTGGTTTGAAGTCCGCGAATTATCACAAAATAGTTTTCTCTCTCCGAATTATTCTTTGTTCAATAGTTTTCTGTATGATACTTTTATCAGTGCAATTTTTCTATGTGTAATGATTTTATCAGTGCACTAGTTTTCTCAGCGAAAACTTCTCCACGTAATGGTTTTATCAGTGCAATAGATTTTTCTGCAAAAGTTTTTCTCCACGCAATGGGTTTCTTCTCCCAGCTTCAATTGATGTGGCATTTCATTTCGTTGTTGCAGGACCACGTATCCGTCGATCTAGACGACCCGCGATCTCCCACGGGTGACATCGCTCGAACGCCCGTCTTCACGAGCGAGCTTGCCGCCGATAGCCAGGCAGGTAAGGAGTGGTAGCGCATGTAACAAGCTCTTCTGTGATTGTTCCTGCTTGTTGCACTTTCACCACAGGCACAGATCTGTGGAGACACAGCGAATGGGAAGTGCGTGATTTTGCAATGCAACATCTTTATACCATTGTTGTACATAGCAAACGTGCTTTAAAATGCTGGAAAGTTTCATCAAAAGGATGAAAGCATCTCTGAATGAAGAGACAGTGGGCATCAACAAACTGGCGTCACATTTTAGGGATGAATGCGGGTGCTGCATGATAGTTGAGGGTCTCGTAACATTAAATTAATAAGGTTTGATGTTTATAAATATTGTTGTATTATTGTTGTATTAAATACTGTGAATTATTGTATCCCCCGCGACGAAGTCGGCGGGGATACTATGGTTTCATGTCTCCCCAGCCGCCGCCGCCGCCGCAGACAATTTCCCTTTCGCTCTATAACTCGACCTCTAATTGACCTAGCGCTACCAAACTTGGTATACTTACACATCTTGGGGAGAAGGTGAGCAGCGTACCAAAACCAGGTCACTGCGACCTTTATTTGACCATTACCTTGACCTTGATCATATTTCCCTTCCGCTCTCTAACTTGGCGTCCTTAATTTGCCTAGCTACCCAATTGGTATACTTACACATTTGGGAGAAGGTGAGCAGCGTACAAAACCAGGTCATGCGACCTTTATTTGACGCTTGATCATATTTGCCTTCCGCTCTGCTAACTTGGCCCCCTAATTGACGGGTAGTCGCTACGCACTTGGTATACATTTTTTGTTCACATTCTTTCGAGAAGGTGAGGCCAAGAGTACTAAACAGGTCACTGCGACTTTATTTGACGCTTTACCTTGACTATTAATCATATTTCCCTCTGCTCTCTACTCGCCCTAATGCCTAGCGCTAAAACTGTATACTCTACCATTCTTGGGGAGAAGGTGGGAGCGGTACCTAACCAGGTCACTGCGACCCGCCGCCCTTTATTTGACTGATCATATTTCGCTTCATGCTCTAATCGGGCCCCTAATTGACTACTGCGTACAACTTGGTAATACTTACCATCTTGGGGAGAAGTGAGACAGCGTACGAAAACGCCTAGGTCACTGCAGCCTTTATTTGAACTTTACGCTTGACCTTGATCATTATTTCCTTCCGCTCTCGTAAACTGAGGCCATAATTGACTAGTGCTAACCAAAACCTAGGTCACTAGACTTTTATTTGACGTTGACGCTTGACGATTGATCATAATTTCGCCTTCCACTTTATAACTTGGCCCGCTAATTGAGCTAGCGCAAACGTTACCACTTGGTAATACTTACCCATCTTGGGGGAGGAAGGTGTGTTGCGTACGCAAAACCAGGTCACTACGACCTTTATTTGACCTTTACCTTGACCTTGATCATATTTCCCTTCCACTCTATAACTTGGCCCCTAATTGACCTAGCGCTACCAAACTTGGTATACTTACACATCTTGGGGAGAATCTGTGTCGCGTACCAAAACCAGGTCACTGCGGCTTTTATTTGACCTTGACCTTGATCATATTTCCCTTCCGCTCTATAACTCAGCCCCTAATTGACCTAGCGCTACCAAACTTGGTATACTTACACATCTTGGGGAGAATCTGTGTCGCGTACCGAAACCAGGTCACTGCAACCTTTATTTGACATTGACCTTGACCTTGACCTTCATCATATTTCCCTTTTGCTCTATAACTCAGCCCCTAATTGACCTAGCGCGACCAAACTTCGTATACTTACACATCTTGGGGAGAACACGGGGGATACATGTAGTTGGCGACAACTGCCCTTTCTAGTTAAATGTTGTAAATCATGTTAATTATGATGTCATTGTAATTTCAGAAGCACTAGCGAGAGGGGAAAAGACACCAGCATATCATAAACTGTCCGAAAGTTCCGACATTTCTAGTGGCGACCTTGGTACGTAACGACGCATTTGCAACCGCCGGTATAATATATGTAAAACGAAACACTATGCATTCACAATTTTCATGAGTGGTATCTCAGCAGAGTCGACGATCAACGTAAATAAATGCATGGTAAAGTTTCAGCGTGCATCGCGTTTTGCCAAAGCTTTCATCCGTGATGCATTGCAGCTTCCCTTGTGGACATTGAACGCCACGCTAAGTGCCATAAAAAACAACATGCGCTAGCAGGCTTTCCTCTCTCTCTCTCTAGTAGCAGACGGCGAGACGACGAGCTTACTGCCAGACGAATCGGTCGGCATGAAGCAGCTGCAGCCGAAAAAGCTATTCGAGAAGAACGCCGGGGGAAAGATGGCTGCCGCCCGTGCTGCTGACACCCCAAAGTACCTGCTGCAGCGTCGCCAAAGCGAGCGACTCAACAGTGACCTAGAGGGCGCTGCCGAGGACAAGGAGAACCTGACGCAATCGTGAATGCGCGGCTGAAAAGATGCCATCGTCGTAGCAACACGTGTCGCCACCATAGCTACTCGCGGTCAGCTGCGCGTTCGAGGTTAGTGTTTACTGGGATTTGCTCATGGGGACTATTATAGTTGGGGGGATTGGAAGCAGGGAAGATGCCAGGGACGCATGATGGGAAGGTCAAGTGAAGGTAGCGCAGCAGAGTAAGGTGCGAGCTGTATGGAGTAGATCACGTAATGTCTTTCAGGCTCCACAAATAATTGATGTAAATGCCGAGGTTTTATATTGTGGATTTCCATGATTTAATTGTACGTACGCTTGCAGCATTCCATAGAGAGTGCGTTATAGATTGGAGATGCTGTCACTGCGTTAGTTGGCCTGTATCAACGAATGGTCTTAGAAAACATTCCAGATGTTGATTACCCTGTAAGCTGCAATGTGAGGCATGCGCCTTGATTGTTTGAAGATATCTGCCGCTCCCGTAACTGCACTAATAATGGGAAATTTGTATCGGCGACTTTCACTTATTTCCGGGATGCGTGGATAGAACGAAGTGCAAGGCAATATTGATCAGATGCGTGCGGAAAATCAATAGCCGTAGTCTCTTTGCCGACTTATTGAGCTAATGCAGCAACTGCCAACTGATTAGTGAGGCTGACAGTTGCTGTGGCCACAGTGAGGGATGATGGTTGGGCTGCGGTGTTTCGTAACTTTGTTGTGCTGTGACAGCTAAGTGCCAACCTGATTTGAATGCAAGAATCATCTGTTTATCTCATAATTGGTACGAAAATATGCTGGTTTGTGTGTCCATTTTTATTATCTTTCTCGCATATCTGTTGGTGGTGGGTTTTGTCGTAAGTTGTATAATATGCACGTCGAGGTCGCTATACGTATGTGGCATTTGTTAATAAGATGCGCAGACCTCCGTTACGGTGCACAAAAGATTGCATTCCTAGGTTTGATGTTGTTAGCAAACATATTCGGGTCTTTTTTGATATAATGGTTATGAAAAAGTAATTGTGCTGGATTAGAAAATGAGAAAACCTCATTATACAATCTTGTACAATCTTATACATCTCTTGACATGTGAGATAACGTTTTAATCATACTTCCATATTACTACGTGTGCACCCGTAAACAGTTAAACAATAGGTTTCAGCACTAAACAGTTAAACAGTACTTCATTTTTTGAGTGAGAATTTGGTTTTTGATGAATGGTAGATTGGAAAACAATTCGAATCCGTTGCTACCTCTTTGCTATAGGTCAGAAGAGCATATCACCCAACCTGGTGCCACTATATTTCTTACCTTTAAGGGCAAGCATTCAAGGGTCATATTCCGAAATTGAATCTTGTTGCGTGCATTTTTATTCCGTTCAAAACAATGCAGTTACTCTAACATAATCACGTTTTAGAATAGTTATGTCCATATGTGCAATTTGTAGAGACACCTTAGGCTTCATATGATGCCGATTTTATTACCACATGCAAGATCATAAAGCTGCTGCAATATTATTCGCGTAAACATCGAAGGTTAGATTTCATTTCTCACGTGGTGGGAAATATTTCTACCGATATAATAACGTGACCACACGTAAACGCCCAGCGGACGTGGGCGCGTGAAGTGTCTATTGTAAGTTGCGCGTAGAATAATATGATGGCTAATGTCACAAAGGAAGTGATGCCTGATGCAGGTGACGGAATGCTCAGGTATAATAATCATTGTTTGAGTAATAAACGTCAGAATAATTGTAAATAAAACTTTGTGGTAATATTTGGCGCATGGTCAGGATCTGCAGGAACGTTTTATTCCTCAAATATTACGTTGTACCATCTTAAGGTCTAGAATAGTACTTTATAGTTGACGTGGTATATATTATATATGAAAACATCTTGAATAATAAAAAGATATTCAAGATGTGGCAGGGTACTTAACACGTACCTTGAACATTTTCATTTTGGGTGGTCATATACATTGGTGATTACCGATTTATGACGACTGTGGTGATTTTTTTATGAAATGGGCTCTGTACTGTTTGCATATATTTCTTTGATTTGCATTCTGATGGATGGAATAATAGTATGATACTGACATTGCTATGGTTAATTCAGTCGTTTTGAGACGTTACGTATGCATACAACAGTAATAATGCCTTGTGTAGATGTTGTTTTTCTGCAGATGTATTCCTGAACCGGTGGATCGATTTTTGTTTAGTGGTACAGGATTGGCAGATAAGCATTTTGCCAGCTAACACTGAACTGTATATATAGCTATTAGCGTAATGTATTTTGTATACAGCAATGACATATGATGTTGTCGCGAAGTAAAATATACAGTTTGGAACAATTAATGTGTCGCTGAGATTAGTGTTGTTAATTAATTCCTGCTTCTTATTCTGTATACATTAGGCTTGACCGAAGCTGTGTAATGAAGACCTTTCATGTTTTTTTCTCTGGGTAGTAGTTGTAATGGGCGTAGAATTAGAATAGCAGAGGTTAAATATGCTGCTGACTTTCTAATACCAAGCAAAGTTTTCCTGGTTTACAACAAAATGTTTATTACACACTACAAAAAAGTTCACACTACAAAAAATAACCACTCGGGTGCAAAGTGGGATATCACTCTAATATGTTGATCCTTGCATACGCTGCAGGAGGAAGAAATTTAATGGAAATATTATCTGGAATTTAAAGGGGAGTTAGAAACATATAAATTTGTGGAAATATAATCTGATATAATATTATATGGTTAACATGCGACATAATGTTAATGGATAATGGAAGGCTGCCTTGATTGCAATACATTGTTCCTGTTAGCACACAAAAATTCATTATAAAAAAAACAATGCAATTGAATATACAACACTAAGCTCACATTTTACCCAATATTGTGTAACAAACTTATTCCAACAACATGAATTAACCTGAGAATATTTCTTATCTGAAATCGGCAAATTTAACTGTAAAAAATGCTGAATTACAAAAATACTTTAATTACTAAATGGGTTAAACACTGAATTTCTGATAATACTGACATTTTCGATACTGTTTACTTCAAAACGATCGAAAGCGAACTAACCGACGTCAGTGCCTATCTCGTAGCATCATGTGGCGCCCTCACTCTTCCATGTCAAATGGATCAGATTCGTTGCCGTCTCCGGTAGCCGTGACTTGAGGTCTGGGCAGGTCAGCAAATCCTCTTGAAGCCACCTTCTCTCCTGTTATGTCCAACTCTAGTTCCATGTCTGATGCACCACCATCTTCGACTCTCGCGTTTGCAACCTCCTTTGCTGCCTGCGATGGCATCTCCTTTGCTGCCTGTGACGGTGCACCTTCTACTGTCTGAGATGGCATCTCCTGCGTAAAGATGTCGCTGTCGAGAGAGAGCGAGGAGGGCAGCGAAGCGTTCTTTGTGTGGACAGGCTTGAAGGGTTTTGTGACGTTGCTCTGCGTCGGTGGTTTAAACCCTTTCACCTTTCGTGGCGGGCTGGAGGCAGACTTTTCTTGCAGTAGCTTGCCCTCCTGTTCGTTAGTTGGCTTTTCGATGGGATGTGGTGAAGTGTCGGGGGTTTTGCTGGTTGTGTCAGTGTTTGCTGGTTCCGGTGATTGACAGATCGGATTAGAGATCGTTTTCTTTACGTTGAACTTTTGCTTGGTTTTTCCAAAGGAAGGCTGAATTGGGTTGGCTGTTTTAGCGTTTGTTTCTGTGGCGTTATCTTTTGAGGGAGCCTTCTTTGATTTTTTAACTTGCTTTGCTGCATTTTTGCTTTGCTTTTTCTGACCTGTTGTGATGTTATCTTCTTCTTTGTCTGTTTCTCCTTTCTTGTCTGACTTCCTTTCTTTTGATCTCTTTACCTTTTTATTGACAGCTTTTTGCTCTTTGTCTGTATCGTTTTGATTTTTCTTCTCTTTTCTAGCTTTTCCTTTCTCTGAATCATCCTTGACAGGATTTCCTTTCCTTTTAGCATTGCGATTGTCTGTACGGTCATCGTTGCCCGAGGCTGTATCTTCTTTATGAGATTTCTTCTGTTTTTTCAAGGGATGGTCCCACTCCGAACAGTAATCGCCTATTAAAATTCATAAAAGGCAATAATTTAATCAGCACCGTTGGAATTGCACTTCTTCGCAATTGAGTTTACATGCCATCAACCTAAATACCTACTAATCGAGCCTAATGAAATTGGCTGAATTTTTAAGACTAATCATACAAATACATTTTTAACATATTTTTAGCCGGGGTCCAAGCAGCTAACCCTGTAAAACGACACCCTGTAGTGCTGACCCAGGCATCTGTTTTCGAAATGCTAATCGGATACACACGACAGGTGAAATCGATGAGAGAAATCGGCTTACTCTCATCTGCGCTGGCTTCGGAGTTCTCTGACATCTCGGCCATGGAATCGAGCACGTCTTCTACATTCCTAAGGATCTCTTCGGCATTGTCCAGCAGCTGACTCATTTCGTCATCAGAGCAGTCGAACGCGTTGACTGGTAAGAGCGAGGTTAGAAATGGGAGTAACGTCATCGGATGTCATCTGATCGTAATTAAATAAAATGAACTTCCCACCATGAGATGTTACCAAAAGTTAGAAGTCGCTATGAAAGCGGTTTACCTCACACAGAGACTACCTGTACGATAGCAACCAATATTCTATGGCTAGCTATAGTAACCTAATATGTCGTGTAGGTAATTAGGGGGTTGATTATCGTACACTGTTAACATATCAGGGCAAACATGGCTTACTAATAATTTACTTTACCAATAGATAGCAGCAAGGTTAGACATAGAGAATTTTATGACTTCCGCAGACATGGATTGCATCAGTAAAGTTACAGCTAATCCAGGATGCCTAGCTAGAAACTCTATATGTCATTAGATGTGGGTAATAACAATTAATCTGCTCTTGGTATTATCAACTCATAATGTCATGTAAGCAATTGGTGAGGCAGGGGGTGCATGTTGTATGCTGTTAATGTATAAGAGTAATGTAAGCTGATCACTGATCATTTACTTTCGGTCCTTTTCGGCTTCTCTCTGTGCTTGTTGGACGTTGGCTTCTTCCTCTTCTTTTCTACACCTGAGGAACAGGAACCGTGCGATTGCCGACCTGCAAATTCGAGACATACGTAGTCAATAGAGTCGCACAGACGTGTTTGCGTATACGACAATGGTTTGCAAACTCCTGTTTTAAGTTCTTGTCGGAATATCGGATCAATACCGTGAAGCTGCAGCGGCGGCTCGTTGCGAGAGGGACTCTGCTCCTCCTCCCCCTCCTCGCAGCAACTGTCCTCCTCCGTGTCGGAGGGCCACCGCCAGTGTCCCTCGTATCTGCCGGCAAGGCCAAACTCCTCGATCCTGTCCGTGAGCGAGGGCAGACGAAGCGCGCTGATTGCGTTCAGCTTAGCGGCGTGTATCTGAGGTCGGTATTCCCTGCCTCGCATCTTTGTCTGCGGAGGAGTACGCTGGCATCACCATCGACTTACCATCAGATATACGACAACCACTTCATACTTGTATACAAACCTGCATATGAAGGTCACTGGAGGGAAATGCCAAGTGTCCTTCACAGACAAATGCCCGTTCTATATATAGAGGTAGTTTCACTGTATATTGCCACCAGAAGGAATCTAATACGTAGTGTGTTACCTTGTTGAGAGAAATGTATCAATTCACACACATGAGAAATATGTAATGTCGAGCAAAGTGATAAATAATTTATTTAAGTATTTTATGTTTTAGCGATTATAAAATACGATAATGACGAGATAGCAAAACTGTCTGATAGGTATGACTAAATTATGTAGTATAATACTTTTAATCTGACGTATGTCACATTAATGGTATTAGTAGGTGTTTAATGGTATATAGACTTTGTAAATATTGTTAAATGCTGGTATTGATTAAGTAATGTGATCTCAGTCAATTTATTTATACCCTTGAGGGTAGAAAGCATAATTACCGATAACATAAAAAATAAGCTTTTCAGAACGTGCTACTGTAGCAATGAGCCCAAAATTACGATATTGCTTACAGATCCAAAATCCCAAGCATTTTCCGCACCGGTAAAGTGCCTCACATGAACTGCCGTCACCCATGACCTTGATATCTTCTCATCTAAGAACACGACGTGGTACCAGGTCTGCAAAACAAACACATTACAAAAAGAAATTACCAATGCTTAAAATATTATAATTCACAACTCTGTGTTATATTCAACATGAAGAGTATGTGTAATATACCGGCTTTAATGAGGGATAATCCATCCAAAAGTAGGTATCATTATCTGGATCCTCTTCGACCATTGCTGGCCACCTACAAAATAAGATAAAAAACCACTTATGGATCATAAACTGCTATCATCACATGGGTTAACATCATAATTAAAGATAGTTCCAAAAACTTTTCACTATGTGAAAAAAACGAAAAAAGACAAACACGTGAATTCATAGCTATATGAAGGCGATTAAATTTCCATCAATTTTTGTACACGCAGGCATTTGCATAAAATTACGTGCAATCATGTTCCATTCATATTTTATAAATCCTCTTTATAAAGCCGGCCGGCTCGATCGCATGAAAAATCGCGTAGTGTTTCCAGTGTCGCAGTCGCGGTCGATTCTCAAGCCAGCCGGCTGAGTCGCCCGAATCAAACATGTTTGATAATTATTTGAGTCGCGCGGCTACAATCGCCCAGTGTGCCCGGGTCTGCGATTGAGTCGGCCGATTGTACAATTCATCAGCCAATCAAATCACAATTAGTTGTCACATCATCCACAGAGTCGCCTGGCTTAGTCGCGTAGTGTGTCCACAGAGTCGCTCGACTCGGCCGCCCGGCTCGACCGCATAAATAATCGCGTAGTGTGTCCACAGCTTTAGGCTAAGATAGTTAAATAACGGCTACTAGTTGAGCACCTACCATGGGTAGCCATCAAGTTTGGCCCACACGAGTGATCCCTCTACGAATTTTGTATGAAAGTACTTCTCTTCATCTTTTTCATGCGCTTGTTCTGGCTTATCACAATCATTATATCGTGTGTCTGTAAAAGCAAGTACATCACAGTTATGTATAATGAAGCCACCGCATCTCTTTCTCTCCCTCCCTCCCTCTTCCTCTCCCTCCCATTCCTCCTCTCTCGTTCTGTTTTTCTCGTTTGCCCTCTCCCTCCACCCCACCCCTACCCCCTTTCTATACATGTGTCTGTGTATTTATAAATAGTAGACACTGGGTAACATTGAGAATTTCTAGTGAATTTTATGACGATTCAGACCCAGAGGGAAATGCTATAAGACCATCTTATATTAATAATATCTGACACTATAACCTTATAACACCCTATAATATGACGTACAGTTGCAACAGTGCACAATCGTGTGCATATTATTAACAGATTCAGTGCTATTGCTGGCAATCCCCACAATATAAGAAAACTAGCAGGCGCTTGTATTTGAAAATACCATTGCTTAGAGTGCAGTTCCATTTGGCAGGTAGTGTTGATGGATCACATACACCCTCCAAGTATCTCCACTTGTGGCAAGCTCTGTTATCACACTGAACCCATGTGCCCTGTTTGACCATCTGTCTGTCGAGAAACTGCCGTCTTCTATTTATCTTGCACTTGCGTTTCTCAGTCGGTTTACGGTGGTGTCCTTTAGCAGAATTAGCCGTCCTCCCCGTAGATCCACGCTCTAGCGATTTCTCTGCTCTTTCGACCGTTTTATGCAGTTTTTTTGACGTCGGCAATAGATTTCCCTTTTCCTTTATAGCACTTTTGCTCTTCGCTGCAGCCGTAGTTTTCTCCAGAGATTTGATCAGTTTCTTTTTAACAACATTCTTCTTGACAGGTTCGTTCCTGTTACCAGCCACTTTTCTGGGACTTTCGTCGACTAAAAATTATAGGAACGCTATTTACTTATTAAACACTCATCTGGTATTCCTAATAGATGAGTTATACTGTTTAGGTGCTGCATGGCCTCCCTCTCTCTCTCTCTCTCTCTCTCTCTCTCTCTCTCTCTCATCTACTCTCTTCATCTCGTCTCGTGCTCCTCTCTCTCTCTCTCTCTCTCTCTCTCTCTCATCTCTCTCTCTCTGCTCTCTCTCTCATCCTCTCGTTCCTCCTGACTCTCTCTCTGCTCTCTTCTCTCTCTCTCTGCTCTCTCGCTCTCCTTCTCTCTCTCCCTCTCTCTCTCTTCTCCTCTCTCTCTCTCTCTCTCTCTCTCTCTCTCCTCGTCTCTCTCCCTCGCTCTCTCGCTCTCTCTCTCTCTCTCTCCTCTCTCTCTCTCTCCTCGCTCTCTCTCTCATGCCTTCTCCCTCTCTCCTCTCTCCTCCCTCCGCTCCCTCCTCCTCCCTCCCTTCCCCTCCCGTCCCCTGCCCTCCCCTCCCTCCCGTCCATCCATCCCCCTCTCTCATCAACAATCTCTCTCTCTTTTCTCTCTCTCTCCTCTTCTCTCTCATCTCTCTTCTCTCTCTCTCTCACCTCTCTCTCTCCTCTTTCCAAATCTCTCTCTCTCTCTCTCTCTTTCCAACACTCTTCTCTCTCATCTCTCTCGTCTCGTCTCTCTCTCCTTTCCAAACTTCTCTCTCTCTCTTTCCAACTCTCTGCCCTCTCTCTCTTGGTTCGTTGTGTC